GTATTTTGCAGATGCAGCTGTAAAGAGATGATCTTGACCAGGAGCCCAACAACAAGTTTTACCAACTGCCAAGGAGAAAATGTGTAATTAACTGAATATTGTATATAAGCAACAACTAAGCCTCCTTTCTGTAAGACAGAGGTTTGGGTATGAATTCCCTGTCTCCTTTACTTGCTGCAAGTAAATAAAACTACCTCAGGACGACCACATCTCATCCTAGCTCATTTGGTTCAATGGTTAGAGCAGGGGTGAGCAAACTTTTTGACTCGAGGGCCACAATGGGTTCTTAAACTGGACCGGAGGGCCGGAACAAAAGCATGGATGGAGTGTTTGTGTGAACTAATATAAATTCAAAGTAAACATCATTACATAAAAGGGTACGGTCTTTTTTTTTTTAGTTTTATTCATTTCAAACGGGCCGGATCCGGCCCGCGGGCCGTAGTTTGCCCACGGCTGGGTTAGAGTGTGGGCCTGCATACCAGGGGGTCTCGGTTCAGTGTCACAGATTCAATTCCTGCTCAAGGGCAGGTACCTGGGTTGTAGGCCCGAAGTTTCTTTCCCCGTCTCTCCTTTCCCCTCTAAAAAAATTAATGGATGCCTGGCCAGTGTAGCTCAGAGGTTGAGTGTCAACCTATGACCCAGGAGGTTGAGGTTCAATTCTGGGGCGGATCACATACCCGGGTTGTGGGCTCAATCCCCAGTGTGGGGGCTTGTAGGGGGCAGTGGATTGATGACTCTCTCTCATCATTGATGTTTCTACTTCTCCCTCTCCCTTCCTCTGAAATCAATACTAATATATTTTTAAAAAATCAATGGAAAAAAATATTTTCAGGTGAGGATTATCAACAACAAAAAGATGACCACTTCTCGTTCTTGACTAGAACACCCCAAGCGGTGACCCCCTGGAGTTCATTATAATACTCTAATCTATTAAGTGTGCAATAGCATTATGTCTTTTTTAAAAGTACATAACTTAATTAAAAACCACTTTCGCTAAAAAATGTAAATTTATTTTAAAAATGTAAAATTTTTGTTAAAATTTTTAACTTTTGCTAAAAAATGTTTGTAAATTTGTAAAAAAAATATATTATTAAAAAAATGCTTACTGTCATCTGAGCCCTAGGTGAGTGTTATCTGATTGTAAAGGGTCTTGTCTCAATACTTATGGCTGCTGATTGCTCAGAGTGGTAGTTGCTGAAGGTTGGGGTAGCTATGTCAATATCTTAAAACTAGAGGCCCAGTGCACAAATTCGTGCACGGGTGGGGTCCTGCTGGTCCTCCCCAATCGGGGCCAGCTAGCTGGAGGAAGGGCTGCAGGAGGTTGGCCAGCTGGCCCCGCCCCCATCAGGTGGGTTGGCTTGCCCCAGTGCACATCATAGCGACCAGTCGTTCTGGTCGCTTGGCTTTTATATATATAATAGAGGCCTAGCGTGCGATTGAAATCATGTGAGGAGGTGCCCCGCCTCCCACTGTGCAAGAGGGGGCCGGGACCCACGCCTGACCCGTGTAGCGCCGGCTGGCCGCAGTGTTGTCTCCACTGGGGTGGGGGCGTGCTCCAAGCCACGCAGCGGCTGCTCTGAGCACTCCCCTGGCCGCCCTGTTGTGTCCGCTGGGGTGGGGCAGGTGCTCCTGTGTGTTGTGTCTCCGCTCCAGCCCGCCCCCAGCCCCAGCCTCCCCACGGCCGCTGGGGTGGGGACGGCATGCAGTCCCCTCCTGCCCATCTGCACTCGCAGCTCCTCCTGAGCGGTCGTGATGCTCAGCTAATTAGCATATTCCCTGTTTATATACATAGATAGAAGCCCGGTGCATGAAATTCATGCACAGGGGTGGGGGGTCCCTCAACCCGGCCTGCACCCTCTCCAATCCGGGACCCCTTGGGGGATGTCCGACTGCCTCTTGCAATCTAGGACTGCTGGCTCCTAACAGCTTGCCTGCCTGCCTGCCTGATTGCCCCTAACCACCTCTGCCTGCCTAATTGCCCCTAACTGCTCCCCTACCAGCCTGATCACTCCTAACCACCTCTGCCTGCCTGCCTGATTGCCCCTAACCGCCTCTGCCTCACCCCACACCCAGGACCCAAGATTCCCTCCTCTGACCAGTTGCAGGCACCCTGGGACCCGGGCTTTCCTCCCTCTGGCTGG